TATCAATCAATAACTCGATCAATTCAGGCTATCTAACACAAACTATAAAAGTTAAATCAGGTTAAATATCTTTTAAAAATTTGGGCGGTTTGTGAGTTGACTTTTTTTTTTGTCAAGTCAACCCGACCAACTCGAAAATAGGGTTATAATCCAACCCTACTCTTATGATGATTAAGAATATTAGACGTTTATTATCGATGTTATGATTAAGAATATTAGACGTTTATTATCGATGTTAGTGATGCATTGTAACTTGTGAATGTTTGATATTTAAGGTCTTTGAGATTTTAGTTATTAATGTAATATAAATAGTAAATAAGTATGATTTTTTAAAATTAATTTTTTAAAAAAACAACCTAACAACCCAACTCGAAAATAGAGGATTGGGATGTGAACTTGTAGAGTTGTTCAGGTCACCAATCCAACCAACCTAATATTAGAGTTGAGTAGTGAACTATATTCGAATTGTTCGGGTGACCAACCCAACCAACCTAATATTTGAGTTTGGTTGTGAACAATATGAGTTGTTTGAGTCCCAACTCAATATTAGAGTTGGGTTGTGAACTATATTCGAGTTGTTCGGGTCACCAATCCAACCAACTCAATACTAGAGTTGAGTTCTGAACTATATTCAAGTTGTTCGAGTCACCAATCCAACCAACTCAATAGTAAAATTGAGTCGTAAACTATATTCGAGTTTTGTTCGGGTCACCAATCCAATCAACTCAATATTAGAGTTGAGTTGTGAACTACATTTGAGTTGTTCGGGTCACCAATCCAACCAACTCAATATTAGAGTTGAGTTGTGAACTACATTTGAGTTTTTCGGGTCACCAATCCAACCAACTCAATATTAGAGTTGAGTTGTGAACTATATTCAAGTTGTTTGAGTCACCAATCCAATCAACTCAATATTAGAGTTGAGTTATTAACTATATTCAAGTTGTTCAGGTCATCAATCCAACCAACCTAATATTAGAGTTAGGTTGTGAACTATATTCGAGTTGTCGGGTCACCAACCCAACTAACCAATATTTTTTATTGGTCCAAAATATTTACCCGACCTACCCCTATGAGATCAATTAAGACGAGAAAAGAAAAGTTGAAAGTAATTGAAAATTCAAAAGATGAGAAGAATTGATACCCTGATATTATGGTGTGGGCGTTGACGAAGACTTTCAAGTTGGAGAAGGCTTTGGCATCAAGCTAAGAAGGAAAGCGACCCAGAATCTGCCTGCTAGCAGCAAGAGGGAAGCTTTGAAGTCATCTAAGAAAGTGACTTGTCAATTGCCAACTAAGAAGAAGAGCACAAAAGCAAGTGTCATGATATTGATATTTACTATGTATGATGCATTCTTCATTTGTAAATAATTGAACTGCATGCACCTAAGAGTTTCAACATCATCTAGGAAATGACAAATTTGAGCTAAAATCTTCACCGACACTGTTTCGGGTGGTCGGGTTGATTTTCGAACTCCTTATGTGCACCCCTGTCATCCATCTTTGGATTATCTTCGATTTGGTCCTTGCATTCGACACAATCAACGTACGTGACATGACCAAAAATCTATATCTGTCTATCTACCATATATCATGTCAATTTGGTAGAAATTTATCTCTTAAACATATCACACCTACGATGTAAGATCCCATTTGGTGAAGAGAACGAAACATTCTTTATAAAGGTGTGGAAACATATCTTCACGTTTTATAAACCTTGAGAGGAAAAAGAACAAACAATATCTACTAACAAAGGGCATGAGCCGTTACAAATGGTATTAGAGTCAAACACTGGGCGATGTGCCAGTAAGGAAGCTAAGCCCTAAAGGTGAGTGGACATGATGCAACCCCCGAAGGGGGTGGATTGAGAGGTCCCACGTCAATTAGAGAAGGGAACGAGTGCCAGCGAGGACACTGAACCCCAAATGGGGTGAATTGTGAGATCTCACATCAATTGGAGAAGAGAACGAACCATTTTAAAAACTTTGAGGAAAAGCACGAAAGGGAAAGCCCAAAGAAGACAACATCTGCTAGCCACGAGTTTAGGCCGTTACAGACTATTTGTTGAGAGTGTCGATGTGGTCAAAATACTAAAAACAAGAATATATTAGTGTCAAAAGAAGGTAAATATGAAGTCAGATGAATCAAAATTACAAATCAATCGAGAGTCTACTACTTTAATTTGATGTAATATTGATCTATACAAATATAATTATAGAAAAACAAAAACAAAAACAAAATCGAAGGGTTATAATTGTAACCAAACTTGGACCGTCATAATATCAAAACTTCATTTGCCTGGAAAAACCATCTCATCTCCAGAAATAATGGGATAAATAANCGTCACAATTTAAATATATTATTATTTATGATATTTTCTTTTTATTAATTTAGGTTTTTTTTTTTTTTTTTTTACTTGGTGGGATTATGATTATATAACGGAAAAAATAACTGACACGTTGAAAGCTCATGACCGTCGATTTCAAGATCATGCATCAGAAACCCTTTTGTAGACACATGCTTATATTGTTGGCTAAAATCATGTCACAAATGTCGAACTCTAAAGAAATTAAAATTAAAATTAAATCACGTAGAAAAGTTCGCTTTTATTAACTTTTTAAAGTTTAAATTTATTTGCGTGAATGAATAACCCTGGCGTAGTTTTGGGATGCTTTTATCAATCAATAACTCGATCAATTCAGGCTATCTAACACAAACTATAAAAGTTAAATCAGGTTAAATATCTTTTAAAAATTTGGGCGGTTTGTGAGTTGACTTTTTTTTTTGTCAAGTCAACCCGACCAACTCGAAAATAGGGTTATAATCCAACCCTACTCTTATGATGATTAAGAATATTAGACGTTTATTATCGATGTTATGATTAAGAATATTAGACGTTTATTATCGATGTTAGTGATGCATTGTAACTTGTGAATGTTTGATATTTAAGGTCTTTGAGATTTTAGTTATTAATGTAATATAAATAGTAAATAAGTATGATTTTTTAAAATTAATTTTTTAAAAAAACAACCTAACAACCCAACTCGAAAATAGAGGATTGGGATGTGAACTTGTAGAGTTGTTCAGGTCACCAATCCAACCAACCTAATATTAGAGTTGAGTAGTGAACTATATTCGAATTGTTCGGGTGACCAACCCAACCAACCTAATATTTGAGTTTGGTTGTGAACAATATGAGTTGTTTGAGTCCCAACTCAATATTAGAGTTGGGTTGTGAACTATATTCGAGTTGTTCGGGTCACCAATCCAACCAACTCAATACTAGAGTTGAGTTCTGAACTATATTCAAGTTGTTCGAGTCACCAATCCAACCAACTCAATAGTAAAATTGAGTCGTAAACTATATTCGAGTTTTGTTCGGGTCACCAATCCAATCAACTCAATATTAGAGTTGAGTTGTGAACTACATTTGAGTTGTTCGGGTCACCAATCCAACCAACTCAATATTAGAGTTGAGTTGTGAACTACATTTGAGTTGTTCGGGTCACCAATCCAACCAACTCAATATTAGAGTTGAGTTGTGAACTACATTTGAGTTGTTCGGGTCACCAATCCAACCAACTCAATATTAGAGTTGAGTTGTGAACTACATTTGAGTTGTTCGGGTCACCAATCCAACCAACTCAATATTAGAGTTGAGTTGTGAACTACATTTGAGTTTTTCGGGTCACCAATCCAACCAACTCAATATTAGAGTTGAGTTGTGAACTATATTCAAGTTGTTTGAGTCACCAATCCAATCAACTCAATATTAGAGTTGAGTTATTAACTATATTCAAGTTGTTCAGGTCATCAATCCAACCAACCTAATATTAGAGTTAGGTTGTGAACTATATTCGAGTTGTCGGGTCACCAACCCAACTAACCAATATTTTTTATTGGTCCAAAATATTTACCCGACCTACCCCTATGAGATCAATTAAGACGAGAAAAGAAAAGTTGAAAGTAATTGAAAATTCAAAAGATGAGAAGAATTGATACCCTGATATTATGGTGTGGGCGTTGACGAAGACTTTCAAGTTGGAGAAGGCTTTGGCATCAAGCTAAGAAGGAAAGCGACCCAGAATCTGCCTGCTAGCAGCAAGAGGGAAGCTTTGAAGTCATCTAAGAAAGTGACTTGTCAATTGCCAACTAAGAAGAAGAGCACAAAAGCAAGTGTCATGATATTGATATTTACTATGTATGATGCATTCTTCATTTGTAAATAATTGAACTGCATGCACCTAAGAGTTTCAACATCATCTAGGAAATGACAAATTTGAGCTAAAATCTTCACCGACACTGTTTCGGGTGGTCGGGTTGATTTTCGAACTCCTTATGTGCACCCCTGTCATCCATCTTTGGATTATCTTCGATTTGGTCCTTGCATTCGACACAATCAACGTACGTGACATGACCAAAAATCTATATCTGTCTATCTACCATATATCATGTCAATTTGGTAGAAATTTATCTCTTAAACATATCACACCTACGATGTAAGATCCCATTTGGTGAAGAGAACGAAACATTCTTTATAAAGGTGTGGAAACATATCTTCACGTTTTATAAACCTTGAGAGGAAAAAGAACAAACAATATCTACTAACAAAGGGCATGAGCCGTTACAAATGGTATTAGAGTCAAACACTGGGCGATGTGCCAGTAAGGAAGCTAAGCCCTAAAGGTGAGTGGACATGATGCAACCCCCGAAGGGGGTGGATTGAGAGGTCCCACGTCAATTAGAGAAGGGAACGAGTGCCAGCGAGGACACTGAACCCCAAATGGGGTGAATTGTGAGATCTCACATCAATTGGAGAAGAGAACGAACCATTTTAAAAACTTTGAGGAAAAGCACGAAAGGGAAAGCCCAAAGAAGACAACATCTGCTAGCCACGAGTTTAGGCCGTTACAGACTATTTGTTGAGAGTGTCGATGTGGTCAAAATACTAAAAACAAGAATATATTAGTGTCAAAAGAAGGTAAATATGAAGTCAGATGAATCAAAATTACAAATCAATCGAGAGTCTACTACTTTAATTTGATGTAATATTGATCTATACAAATATAATTATAGAAAAACAAAAACAAAAACAAAATCGAAGGGTTATAATTGTAACCAAACTTGGACAGTCATAATATCAAAACTTCATTTGCCTGGAAAAACCATCTCATCTCCAGAAATAATGGGATAAATAAGTTGCAAAATTTATGGGGGATATTCAAATTGAGAGGAAAAAGAAAAAAGAAAAAAGAAAAAAAAAATTACGTACTGTACTTCCTTGTCAAGAAGCTGCAACTACTGGAATGTAGAAGAGAAAATCGATGGAATCAATCTGAAGTTGCTTCTTGGCTTGCATGAAGAAAGTTGGCTGGAGTTGATTCCAAACGATATCTTTGTTTATGTTTGACACTACAATTTTGATCAACTTTTTACACTATTTTGATCTCAACGTTTCCATATTCGCCCCTGCTGCTTCTGTTCTTGAATCCGCCTGCATCGTTAATTAAGACAATCGATTCTTAGGTAACGTATATAGATCATTTGAAGTAATGTCAAGCATTGAAATCATAAGATGAATGCAACAAAATTGATACAAGAACATATATTAGATCATTTGAAGTAATGTCAAGCATTGAAATCATAAGATGGATGCTACAAAATTGATACAAGAACATATATTAGATCATTTGAAGCAATGTTCGAATCTTTTCTTCTTCATTTCTTTTTGAGATCAACTAATTAGTTATTTCATTTGATTCCATCTCACAATATCTATCTTTTCTGCTTCGCAAGCACGTTTACTCAACTTTATTAGATGTCTTTCAATAGAAGATACTCATATTATACAAGAAAACCAGAATGCCACTAAAATTAAAGCAAAAATAGCAAATTAAGCCCCCATGTGAATCACGGAAGTCTACTATAAAAGAATATTCTAGACAATTGGTAATTTCATGAACATGTAAATCTATAGGTGTCCTACAAATAATATAAATCACAGATAACAATGGAACAATTTCCTTCTACATACAGCTTTTTGCTGACATCACAAGCTCAGGATAATAGAAATTGAACACCATTACTGAAAAAGTCATTTATCAATAAAAAAAAGGTTGGATCATCATTCTAGTCCTTGTAAATTTTTGTTTTAAACTATTTGGTCCCTTGTTTTTTGTTCTGTTCTTTTCTTTAAACAAGAAACAGGTTCAAGACATCATGCTAGCTTCAACGTAATGTCAGGTCAGTTTCTTCTAAAATTAATGTTAGAATTAAGCCATATTTATATAGCACATGGACTAAAATAAAACAAAGGAAAGACAGACATAAATAAAAAAGTAAACAGACTAGAATCATAATTCAAAATGAAGGAAAGACATAGACCTACTATTGAAAAAAAAAAAAGGAGAAAAAAATTATCACCTTTGATGCTCTTTAGAACGTCTTATAAATTCTGTTGGAATGTCGCATCCTTTATATGATTCAAGTACTTGTCTGATGTCAGCTGGACTATTTCGTGCAACAACTGCATATTCAAGTAAACGTTTGTTCATTTGTTACCAGAAAAAAATTTGTACTAACCAAACAAAATCACCCCTAGTTATGAATTCTCATCATATGCATAGCAAGATCAGAATGCTTACATTCAAGAAATGGTATAAAATCAAGAAGAGCTGTGTCATCTGCCTCACACTTCCATGGCTTTATTGGAACAGAGTTTTCTGGTTGTAGACTACTATCAAGTGCATGGCCACTCAAATAAATAATCTTCCTGGGATCCCTGTTAAGCTTTGAGAGGTCCTGTTTTTCGTATTTTTTTGAAAAACAAACAAAGAAAGTGCATTATACAATCGAATAAAATTTGAATGGGTTACCTTACCGTATTCATAATTTAATGATATATTGATCGCCTTTTCTCTAGTTAGAATTTTTCATCCAAAAGAATTACAAGAAAGTTCATTATGACGGGTAAAGGAAAATATAATTTTGAGTATAATACATATGGCAGATAAGTAATCTAGAATGATAAATTTATGGTATCATCTAGCTCAAAATAATTGATCATTATCTTAAAGACTAAGGTGAATGCAAAATTGTAAGATCCAGATATCTAGAGAAGAATTTATCAGAGAAAAAACAGAGTAAACTCTCATCCATAACATACTCTGTAATGCTTTCCATTCTCATACTTTGTAGCTGCTCTTGACAACCTATATCGTATGCAATGCTTGGGATCCAACCTATCAATGACAGGATCAACATACTGCAATAGCAAAACAAAATAAATGTAACTTTTTCTGTGATTAAAATTTATAAACGTGGCAATCGAGTTTAAGACGAAAAGAGAATAAATTACCATATTTGATTGATCAGAGTATATAACAATTTCATAAAACTGGGCAAGATGTTCCAAGAAAGAATCAACTCCAGGTCTTTTAAACGTCTGCCAGCCTCTTTCTCGCTTTAGAAGAAAAGAGAGGTTGTTACAACCAATGAAAAAAATACCCCAACAAGTCTTTGTTATCATCAAGTACAAGCATAAGCTAAATATCATAAATCCAATGATATCTAAGAAGAGTTCGGTGATTAAAATAAAAAATAAAAAAAATTCAACAAAATTTAAAAAAATGAAACTTGTATGAAAAAGCTAGTCAAAATGCAATTGTTTGGCAAGAGTCAAAATGCAATTCAACAAATTCACTAATTAAAAATGACATATTTTTGGTAATGAAAACAACTCTCACAAAGAAGAGAGTAAATATGACCAAAAAAGCAAGACATATATAGAAAAGGCAAAACCACAACTAAGCCACCAAAAAAGATAAAAATAAAAAATTACGAAGGCATCGAAAACACAACATTATCTTTAATATTAGTCTTACCGTCCAATCAGAGTATACTAGAGTCTCGTTTAGATCTAGAACAAGCGTAAACACATGCCGTTCCATGGGATGCAATTCTGGAAGAAGCATTTCCGCATTGGGTTCAGTATAACCCTAAAATTAGCAACAAAAAAAAAACTTATGGTCAGCGACAAGTGAATCTACAGAGGCTGATAAACATCCAAGAGCAATGTTAAACTGAAACAACGTACGCACTTTAACTTGCTTTTCAATTGCCTTCCTCAAATCCAGGTAAACGTCAATGAGTTTAGCAGGAGCTGCAAGATGAGGTTCTTTTTGTTAACTAATGATACTGAATTAACCAGTTACCATATAATAAGCATAACAATATATTTGAAACTCTTCAATTTATCAAGTCAGAGGTGCAGCATTTGAAAAATGTGCATATGTGCAAAGGCATCAAAGCCACCTTGGTGACGGCAAGACGCCCTCTATCAAGCATCACCTAAGATGTACTTTGGCACCAGCTGAGGCATTGAGGCACACGTTTCATATTTATGTCTCTTTGCTCTCCAATGGACAAAGCATCTTGCATGTCTACCATTTCACCAACAACAACTACAAATTCTTCAATTGCCCTCCCCAAACCATAAACCCTCATCTCGACTCTAACCTAAATTATTTTCTACAATGTGCATAAGCTCCAAAGAGTTATTCTGCTCTAGTAGGGTTTTCGAGGTATTCAAATGGTAAATCAAGGTTAACGTCGTACAAAGAGTAAGCGTTTGAATTGGAAAGGTCAATAAGAAAAGAAGGTTTTTGCTTCTACCTGACATTATCGTGGAGTATAGCATGCCCTGAACTTTCTGCCAAAGAAAAATAATGACAAAAAGTTATGCTTCGCACCACAAAATAAATGAAGCTGAATAAAGAGAGACGGGGAAGAAACATACATTACCATGCAACCTCATTTGACACAAACAACTCAAAATAAGTTGAACCACGACTAATGAAAATCAAATTGGAATTGCACCATCCCAAAAATCCCAACAAACACGCAATATTTCCCTTATGTTGTTACAAACTCATTCATGCTTCAGTTGGAAAGAAACAACGCTAATTCGATATAGAAAACAATTGCGAAAGAAAATAACTAGAATTTGTCAAAGTATATCAAACTCGGGACCGGTCTCATCGTAACACATACCTCGACACTGGAAGCATCGTCCGCGGCTGTATGACTAGCAGAACGACGAAGAGCTTTTGCCTTCTCTTCAATTTCATCGCAAGTATAGGCTGGAAAACTAATCATCAGTTCGTAACTCCAATTCACGTGAATCAAAATAAAAACCAGATCAAATTCACATCATTCTAAACGAGAAATCAGGAGGTAATGAGGAGGAGAAAGTACCATAGCTGGCGTAACCAGCAACCGCAGTTGCTCCTGTGAGAGCACCAATCAAACTATACTTAAGGAAATTCCAAGGCTTACTAGTGGTAGAAGAAGAAGAAGAAGAACCAGTAGGGCCTTGAACATCAGGTGGAATCTGATCGGAGATAAGCTTCTGAGACGCATTGATCGCATCTTTGGAAGGGGTCGAAGCGAGATCGGAGCTCATAAGACGACCATGGCGATTCTTCAGCAGGGAAACGAATCGGGGTCGCAAAATCAAAGGGGACATTATCGGAGAATTAGGGTTTAGATCAGTTTCTGTTCTAATTTTTCTTTTCCAATCTTCAAATTAGGGTTTTGGCAAAGAGAAATACAGCGAAAAAGACCTCCCTGAAATTAAAAGTACTGTTTGGATGTCGGTGTATGCTATACCTGGTTCTGGACAAGGATCTAGAAGCTGGTGTTTGGATGTCGGTGTATGCTATACTTGGTTCTGGACAAGGATCTAGAAGTTGGTGTTTGGCTGCAAACTTTTTTTTTTTTCCTTTTTTTTTAAACAAATTAATTTAATAACCGAGATTTAAACGCTTATAATTATAAACAAATATTTTTATCAATTATCAATTTAAATTTTATTTTAAAATCATTATTTCATAATTTTCATATATATATATATAACAATTTTTCATTCTTATTTGGTTGTTTTTCTTATATTTATTTAAAAATAATTAAATTATTATTGTTTTTTTACTATTTTTGTAAGATTTTAAAAAATAATAATATATTTATTGAGTGGTTTTCCATTTATTTTGGTAAAAAATAATTACACTTAAAAGTGTAAACTGATTAAATTAATCCAATTATTAATTTTAGTTTTTTTTTTTATCAATTAATCAATTTAATTTTTATTTTAAAATCATTAATTCATAATTTTCATATAGATATATATATATATAATGTTAGATTAAATGAACAGTAACAATTTTCATTTTTTATTTGGTTGTTTTTTATATTTATTTAAAAATAATTAAATTATTATTATTATTTACTATTTTTGTAAGATTTAAAAAATAATAATAAATTTATTGAGCTTCCCAACCGGCCTCATGCAATGGCGAGGGTATTTATTGATTATAAATCTATGATCATTCTCTAAATTAGCCAATATGGACTTTCATCCAACACCTCCCCTCGAACAAAGTACACCTTCCCTTAATCGAGGCTCGACTCCTTTTTTTTTTTTTGGAGTCTTAGTCATGTTTTACTATGCCTTCGAGTAGCCTCGACTCCTTTTTCTTTTGGAGTTCTTTGTTCGACATTTGAAAATTATATTGACATGACTAAGTTTAGGGCATGACTCTGATACCAAGACCCGTGGGAAGCACTATTTTCGGGCTGATTTGACAAAAAATTAACTGTGAACTTTCAAATCGAACCGAATTTTCGGTTTTCAAAAAACCCAATCCAACCTAGACCGAACAAAAAATCTAACTCAACCCAACTTTATGATTTGGGTTGGGTAGTCTAGATTGATCGAATTATCGAGTCATATGAATACCCGTAATTCAAATACTCGTACTCGATTTTGTCATAATCAAAATTTATTTATAAAAAAGAAAAAAAAAAAACCCTCTCCAATTTTTTTTTTTGTTTCTCCCCATTTCCAATTTTAAACTTATTATTGCATGGTTTCTCTTCTATTTATATAAATTAAAATTAAAATGCCTAAAATTTATGATTTATTAAAAATTTTAAAATTAAAATTAAATATTTGAGAGTAGAAATTTTAAAATTAAAATTAAAGAATTTTTTTTTTTAGAAAATTACTACTAACCCATTTTTGTACGCCCATAGCCGCATGTATATAAGACGGAATGTTTCCAAAACCAGAAGCATTGAACAAAAAATGGCGGGAAAGCTTGGAAGCTCGGAGAGAATCAGAATCGACATCATGAGGAAAATCAGGGGTCACAATTCGATTGAATTTACTCATCATTCTCATATTCATTCCATACGGTTTCTTTTTCAACGTTGCTATTTTCTTTTTCGCTTTTCGATTCCGTGTTTTGCAGAGCTAACAAGATCTATGATCGTTGAACTGAGTAATGGAAGCTCCAAGATGATCGCTATCGATCGGTTTAAAAATTACTGCACTAATTCCACTGAAAACTGGTTCGGATTTTGTTTTGCTTGTTTGCAGTTTTTGTTACTTTTGAATCTTCACAGTCGTACCAAATAATGACCACGATCATCATGTGATTTACTTGACTACGATTATTTAGTTCTCAATACGTTTGACAATTTTCGATAATCCTCGATTTGTTATTTACCAATGGATCTGTTGGATCCTATCGGAGACCGAGTCAATCGGTTGCATAACTTAGCCGCGATTTGTCATTTTCGAAAGGCACTTCTCTGTCTAAACTCACAAGCATTTAATATGTAGGACCTAGTTCTCACTTATCCTTTTCGTAATAAACGAATGGTGTTTCAAACAATAGTTTAATCTTTCAACAAAATACAGTTCGCGAATGTGCAGTGGCCACTATCTTGAAATTGGACATGTGCTTTGGAAATGTATGTTGTCTACCTAAAGAGATGTTTAGACGATTATGGCTATTTTTTATACAGTTGCTGCAGGTTCAATTTATCTGAAGGGAAGGAGATTCTAACACTTCAAAGGCAAAGCCATGTCCGTAGACTAGGTGATTTAGTTTTGTCGACGAATGATATTATAAAATCATAATTCATATAGACTACAGAGTACACTTGTGACTTATTTGATATCATTTTGCTCTATCAGATGTCTTGCTTAGAGTTCTACTCATTATTCAGCAGCTTCTGCGAGAAAATAGACATAGCTCAAAGAGAGATATATATTACATGCATCCCTCCGTATTTACAGGTAAAGCTAACCACCGTTTAATCCGCAGGCACCGGTAGATTTGTTTAAGATACATGTTTCCTAAAATAATTAGCTCTCCAGTTGAGAAGAATTAAATTTCAACATATCCTTCGAATTTATGTTTTCAGCAAGTTTGGGCAGGAGATTTTCTGAACATCTCCATGTTTTGCTTGATATGCAGAGGGTAATGACATTGGCTTCATTATAATGATGAATATTTTGCAGATCAATCTGCTGTTGACCGGGCAATCAACGACATCTGCATTCTTTTGCAATGTAGCCGGCACAATCTAAATGTGGTTGGTGCTGCGCTTCATTTTACTTTGTTTCCAATTTATGTTTCCTCCATGGTTATATAATACAGTTCATGTGGGATCTAATCTCAATATGGTATTTACTGTTGGCTGCGTGTCACACAAAATGCGGTTCTTTGATAAAATAAACGTAGTCATTTTTTGTGATCCAACAGCACTGATAGGTGTTGAAATTAGGAAGATACTCTTCAACAGATCAATTGCAGTTTTCATTAAATCCTATAAACATGTTTGCAAGCTGCTTCTGATGATCATTTCAACTTGTGTCCTTTTGACAGGTTTCTGTTGGTAATGGGTAAGTATCGAGGAAAACATATGCGCAGTTCAGATAAGAAGAGAATAGTGCAGAATGCAGCTTGCTTTCTTGGCATAAGCCTTTACAAGAAGTCTCATTACACAATTATTTGTTTTGTGGGTCGATACCCATATCAGCCTTTTCTATACCATTAGATTATGTTACATAACAATTTCCTCTTTTTGCTGCAATCTGTTTCATGGAGGAAGAAAATAAAGAACTGAATGTTGACGTAGTCACTTCTTTTACAGGTTGGTGATGGGTTGGTTGAGGTTCGCAGAAGCTGGTAGGAGATTTGATTGCATAAAGAAGCCTAACAATGTAAAAGTTATACTACGGTTCTTCATAATGCAATTGCCAATTTTATCACTCTTAGCTGTAACTGATTTGAACATATGCATCTCAATAACATACAGGCCCACTCCATTCCTGTTCAAGTTGAAGAAGTCACAGGTATTGCTGATACTGGATACATAACTTGCCAATCTGTTAGGCTAGAGCTTAAATTAGACACTCGGAATGATACCTTTGGATATGGATTATCTATGCTGTAGTCTGCCAAAGTTCTACATTCTTCGTGAAATTACATAGTTCTTATTGTTGAGAATTGTTGGGAGGGAGTCCCACCTCCGCTCATTTAGGGAATCATCATGAGTTTATAAGTAAGGAATACATCTCTATTCGTACGAGTCAGGTGATTCCTAACACTTATTGCATTCCTCCATATTCTTGAAAGCCCTTTTCACCGGATTCGGTTTTCGCTTATGACTATTTTTATCTTTATATGCAGATATTGCTGGTCCTGCGAATTACATACTCGTGGTTGAGAAAGAATCAGGTGAAGGCTATACTGATAAAAGCTGATTTCACGGTTCAAGGAATGAGTTTCACTTGGATCAGTTAAAAGTACCTGGTTCGATTTTTGAACGTGCAGTTTTTCAGCGTCTAGCAAATGACCATTTCTGCAGCAGAAACCGTTGCATTGTAATCTCGGTGAGCATGTCTCAGGTCCTGCAATTGAAAATTCTAATATTCAAATGTTAACATTTTCTTTTTTCAGGGACGTGGATATCCAGATGTTCCTACTAGAAGGTAAAGAAATAAATTATGGTCATAAAAACGCTAATCTCATTTTATTATTGATGATGCGAGACATGAAAATATGCACCCATGTATTGCTATCAGGTTTCTGCGGCTTCTCGTTGATGTCTTGGCATTGCCTGCATTTTGTTTGGTAGATTGTGATCCATATGGTTTCGACATTCTGACAACATATCGATTCGGTTCTATGGTTAGGCTCCTCAATTGAACGATTATCTCAATTATTTATCTACTAAATTATATCATCAGAACTGCGAACTAACCAGTAGCATTTGTGTGAAACAATGATAACTTCAATCCCTGTTAGTGTTCTTGACCCTTTTCCTTTTCACAAGCAAATGGCCTACGATGCGAAGTATCTCAGAATCCCACAACTACACTGGCTTGGAGCTTTTGCTTCAGATTCTAACACATACAATCTACCACAACAATGTCTCATCCCATTAACTTTGGAAGGTGAGGGATCTTACATACAACTACACCCGCACCCGCACACGCACACAACACACACGTGCCCGCGCACATACACACTCACTGTGTGCATTTTCAAATGATATTTTCTGTATTAGTTGTCGAGGATACTTAGCCTTGAATTATGGTTTACTATATGTATCATATTTGACCTTTATTAGACGCAAATATTACCATATGTATCATATTTGCCTCTTTATTAGAGGCAAATATCTAGATATTTGTCTTCTATTATGGTTTACTATAGATATCATATTTGTCCTTTTATTATCGGCAATTGTATCCATTTATAT